GCAGGTTGGGGTGTGGCCTGCCATTCTTTTCTGAGATAATTGATCTGATACGCTATATAGCAAACAGAGGGAAAAAATTCAAGCGATAACAACGGCCCCCCACCGTTGCAAAAAAAAGGTCCTCCTCTCTGCAAAGTTTGATGTGTGATGTTCTGATATGTGGATGCCTACGCATAGCCACATGTACCATGGATAGCAGAAGTCCGCTCCCGTGGTACGTGACCACAACGCCATCATAAATACTCGTCCTCACCCAATTTTGACCCGGTACTATAATACTAACAACCTTGTTCATATTCACACCATCCTCTCACAAATTTGAACAACTTCAAGCCAACTACCAGACCTACGCGAAACTCTACCGTACATTGACAAGCATGTTCCCTTTTTTCCAATTACCCCGGGAGTTACGAAATCTGATTTACGACTACTATGTCCGCTGCGATGGCGGCTACGTGTACGATGTGGAAACGCGGAAACTTCGACGAGCTGATGGAGACCCTGTTTTTAACGCACTGGCCTTGACATGTCGACAAGCTGCGTTCGAGCTCGAAGGACTGGCTTTCCAAGTGAACACGATCACATTTTCGGCGGCCTACACGGAATCATTGCGTGATCAAGCGCTTTTACATCACCATGTGATGCGTGACTGCCGCGCTTTAAGAAAATATCTGCTCAACGCGGTACCCTCCAGACTGTTTACCCCCGAGATGCTCGAACTTACGAAAGAGGCATATCCCCAATTTGCAGAACATGTCGTATATTGGGGAAGAGATAGGGGAAACAGGGGAAACATGCGAAACGTGGAAAGCATCTACACTTGGAAATTCTGGTCGAGAATTTGGGAAAACATTCGTACTCGGGAATTCTGGGCGATAACTTGGGTCAATATTTGTCCTTGGAGATTCCGGTCGAGAAATAGGGAAGCACACCGACTTTGGCCTATCTTTGGACATGATAGTGACGCACGATCTGTCTGGGGCGACTTTGAGCTGTTCATATTGCAGCTTATGGTTAAACACCCGGCCTTCAACGATACCGTAAAGAGTCTGCGTCCGCCCTACAATGTTCCTAGCAGGTATTTGGACCTGGTGCGATATGGAAATTCATACCTCGAACCTTGGCGCATGATTGAAATGGCTGAGCTCAAGCGCCTGGCAGACATCGTATGCAGTCCCCAAAGGGTACACAAGTACCATCCAAAGACAACATTCAGATACTCTGCAGCTGCTCTGGCGCTTCAATTCTTCAATTCACGTACCGAGAAGGTCCGCAATTCGGTTCGTAAGATCCTTCTCATTGAGGACGAGATATCAGTAGGGCAATCCAATACTCACGGTCGCGGCTTCATTTCGCTCTGCCAGAAAAACAAAAAACTGCACGTTGAACGCCGCGTAAACCTCTGGAACGCTGTATTTGCACCCGATTATAGCCGCCAAGAAGAATATCTTAACTGCTGGTGCTATCGGGGAGTTGACTCTATGCAAAACGACCGTCTCAAGGCCTCAGAGGTCTCACAGGTAGTCGGGAACTGGATGGTTGAGGCTTTGGCATTGCCCTCGCTCGGAATGCCTGAAGGCTCATTTACTCTTGTCTTAGATGGAGACCCTATACCCGAACACACCTCTAAAGTCTTCCAAATAATGCAGCGAGACGCCGCTTGGCAAGCTGCGCTTGGCCTATGTTGTTCTCGAGGTCTAGTACCGGAACCTTCTTGGACACAACGTAGATTCAACAGCTGCTTTATTTTTGAAGGATTTCCCGAAGTAATGCAGAGACTTTCCACTACTAGCTCTCTTATCAGGTGCAACTTCGACCTTGGTGTACCTTACGATGTCGAAACTATAATTGAAAACAATCGTGGTCTCGATTGGGATGGGTGGTTTAGCCAATGGTTCAGCCATAGCCCGTCCGAATTCCAGACCGAACCACCGCTGCCGCCATGGCACGAGCTTTGGTGGCTACGCGGTTTACCTTTGTAGTTAGTTTATCCAAGCTATCTGGCTTTAGAAACTTTTGCTAGGTCGCTCTGAGAAATGGCATCTTTATCGGATTTAGTTTTGAACATTTTTTGCAATACAACGCCAATTTCGTCTCATCAGTTTTTGCATCGTTTTTGATCTCCTTAAACATCTGGCATCGTGATGACTCAATTTCGCTCACCCAACATAGCATAGTTCGTCGGGTTGAGTATAATTAAACAGTTTACTGCATCGCCAATATACCAGCCAGGGACTCAGATCCCGGTGTCATGACACGTTGCAAGCCAATCGAGAGCTTGATTTCTAACATGGATCAGCTCCATTACAACAACCGTGAACCTAGGTATGAAATCTACTACTTAGGCAGATCTTTCCAGAAATTCCCGACGTCTTGGCCGAACAAGGTTCTTGGTCCAGCTCATGAAAGTGACCTGGGTCTGCAGCCGGCTCATGCTAGCACGAAGCGCTGGTATACAAGTATCACGACCCAATTGATCCGGGCCTGCTAGTGGAGAGCTTCTAAAATGACTCCTCCAATCTCTATAACGTTAGATCCCTGTAGAGATAGGTCTCCAGTCATCCCATAAACCTCAAACTGTATACCGCAGGCATGATGCATACATATAATGCCTGAGGTGTAGTCCATGCTATCTTGTTTGGAGAGAAAATAGCATCTCAATAATCTACACAAATCCTTAGTAACGTTGATATCTCTACTGTAACAGAATTGGACATCACTGCTCCCAGGTCAAGGGGCGACTCGCGCTTGAGGGAGATAATAGCTGAAAAACGATCGCTACAATAGAGTTCATTGGATATGAGCCATCCGCGCCGAATATAAATCCCAAATTGTACCCACTACATGATCCCATGCTACTAGACCATAGTATTCAAATTGATTCTCTCTACAAATGCACGGAGAGACTATTCTCGCTCGCACTTTGGAATGCCATATAAAAGCTATTAGAGTAGTGCGAAAGTAAAGACAATGAACCATTAATGTGAAAGAGTATTTATACACGGAATTCTGCTTATTTTGGGGTGTGGGTATAGAGTTTGTGCATCGCAATCATCTGTAAGTGGGATGTTACATACAATGATTACGTACGTACATACTAGCAGTAGTAACACATGCGTTGCGCCACAACGCCTACAACAGCTCGAACCGCCAAATACATGTAAAGCTGTTTCTTCGCAGAATAAAGCGCCAACCCTTATACATCAACCGCACAATGTGGTCTGAAGAATTTCCAGGTTTCGAGCAAGTCAGTACTGACGGTAGCTCTCTCGGGAACGGAAAGAAGAAGGCTACAGCTGGTGTTGGTGTTTACTTCGGACCCAATGACCCAAGGTGTGTAAGCATCAGCACATCCCAACACGCTATGCGCACTGCATCATGCCTCCCTACTGACTAGACGACACATAGGAATTATGGCGAGCCCTTGGGCCCGGGCCCCCAAACCAACCAACGCGCTGAGCTCAAAGCTGTCCTGAAGGCCTTGCAAACGATACCCATCACGCAGAATCTACTCATTGAAACAGACTCGACATACGCTATCATGAGTGTGACGGAATGGTATTATAAATGGGAATGGAAGAGTTGGAGGAAGGGCAAAGGCGCGCCGTTCAAGAATATAGACTTGATCAAACCGAGCGTTGGTCACTTGGAGCGGCGCGAGGCGATAGGCAGCGCAACGTATTTTCGTTGGGTCAAGGGTCATACGGACAATCCAGGCAACGAAGCAGCTGACAAGCTAGCTGTCGCAGGAGCAAGGTACGCTTCACGAGTGCCCTACATTTCACCAGACCCAGCTCTGAACACATGTGACACAGGCGCGAATACGTACGACGTTACGGCGAACCCGAGGAGAAGGAGAGGAGGCCGCGATGTACCTTCCGCGAGGCCCCGTTTGGCTGGAAGGTGGTGCGACACCCAGATGGAACCGAGACCCTCGAGCCGAATCCACAAGAAGTGAATAACTACACGAAAAAGCAGAAGAAGGCGGCGGAAAAAAGAGAAGCTGAGCGGATAAAGGTTTTCAAATCTAGACGCAGAAGAGGAGGAAGCGCAGCGCAGCGTATGGCTATTAAAGCCGCCAGAGCAGCAGAAGCGACCAAAGCGGCCGAAGCGACCAAAGCGGCCGAAGCGACCAAAGCGGCCGAAGCGACCAAAGCGGCCGAAGCAGCAGATGCATGGCTCGCTGAAATGGACCCAGATCCGACGTCAGACGTTGCAGCACAAAGTGAATAGTTGGTGAGGGGTTCGATCACATTGTCATGGCTGACAGCAGAAGCCAATGTCTTCGAAGCCAACAAATCAAGAAGCGTCAAACGTCTTCCCATCCATACAACACTCTTCTCCAGCCGCCGATGCATTCATATCAAGGTAAAAGAACCCAACCCTGGTCTCAATATTGTTGCGGTTACAGTTTCGCCCGCAAGTATATGCTGGTGCGCTGTTCGGCACCACAGCTTCAGGGCGACGGTACTACATTTGTAGCATATCCTCAATCCAGGTCCAAGAGTTGGACTCGGCATGTTGGCATGATGATCGAAGAATTCAAAAAGAACACGAAACAGGATGCATCCCTGTTGATAGATAGGTAAGGGTCTTTTCCTTTTTTTGGCTCTCAGGCTTGCCTTTCAACGCCTCAAATTCCGTTGGCAGAACTTGTGCTTAGCTGAAACAACCAAGTTGGATTGATTTCGGCAGTTCTCAAATGTCACTTTTTGCTGTTAGTACATAGTATTAAACACATCAATGGGCGGCCCAATCGACAAGCTGGGTCATTTGACATGAACGCAACCGGCCTATTCAAACAAAACAACAAAACTACATTGCTGTTCTTGATCTAATATATCCGTAGTTCTATGCCTCTAACAAGCTCTTGACTTCCTTAACCAGCAGCCGATCCTCAGCATCCTTTGCTTGCACATTACCCATGGTCCCTGCCGCATCCATGACCCTCCATAAATCTCTCAGCTCACCATTCATATCAGCGCCATATACTAACCATCCAACACTAATCACGCTCATCTTCTTATTGTCGCTCCACTCCTCCTCAGTACTTATGTTTTCGAGCAGCGAAGCGAGAAGCTCCACCTGCTCGGACTCTTCAAGTTCCGTCTCCCAAGGCAGGGAGTGTGAGGGGTTGGCGCTATACTTCTTCATCCGCACCTGGTGGTTGGAAGAAGTAATGTTCATTGCTAGATTAAGGGCCGAGGCTTTGAGTGCGGGATGTTTCTCGTCGAGAAGAGCGGTCGTCAAGATGGAGATGAGATTTGACGAAAGCGGCTGAGAGAGAAGGTGCGGTACGAAGAGTTGCGAACTGAAGAGATTGCACGCTAGGTGCAGTGTGGTGAGCCGGAGGGGATATGGTGCGCTGTCACCCAGTTTGTCAACGTGGTCAAGTAGATGGTGTACTGTTGCTGGTGTTCCCGTTGCGCCTTTGTGCTCCTCTGCGAAAAAGCCAGCGACACGAGCGTCGGTGAGCGCTATCCTAAGCAGATCCAGCGCAGTAAATAGGAGCTCGTTCGGGAGCACTGAGGTGCTTTTTCTCAGGAAATCCGCAAACTTCGGGAGTTCGGTCAAGGGTGCCTCAATCGCTCCGGACTTCTCACGGGCTTGGATAAAAGCGACAATCGATGACACGGCAGGATCGTTTCCGGCATCTCCCATCTTCGCAACCAACTTCTCCAATGGTGGTACCTTTGTAAATCTGATAGGTCTTTGGCTCTGCCGCATGAGCAAAGGTGTGCTCTTGTCCAGATGTGGGTGCGGTGGAAATGCTGAATTGAGCAACATCTCCACATTGCTACGCAGCTGCCTTGGATCGGCTCCACTCCACTCATCTCGTTGCTCTCCCTTTAGATATGTAATAAACGTCGGAGTAGCGCGTACGTTGGGATATCGAGTATTAATCGAGCTATCGGCGTAGCTAAAATCAATCTTGATGAACACACACTTCATCCCTGCCTCCGCTGCGAGTTGGTCGTATGGCTGATACATGAGCTTGCAAGGAGCGCACGTAGAGCTAGTGAAGAAGATGATGGCGCAGCGATCCTTGGCGAGGCCAAGTAATCGATCTACATCCCTAAGTGATGTGACATTGTTGACTTTGCCCGTGTTCATTTCTAGTTCAGTCATGCTGCCAGAAGAAGCTCCTTTTGCTATTCCATTTGACGCACTTGCACTTGACGGTTGTACTTGACCCGCTTGGGGCGTGGGTGCCTGTACAATCGGTCGCATGGCAGCGTCAATCTGCGGTTTGAGCATTTGCCCAAAGGGCGTGTTGAGAACGGTTTGCGGAAGAGAAGTGATATGATCCGGTATTCCTTTGCCAACAAGGAACATTGCAAAATCGTTTGAGAAGTTATTACAGTTATGTGCAAACAGATCGTATGACTAGAAAACGTCAGCAGTTGCTTATGACACGGTATATGGAGTTCACTTACTTCGGGTGTGTATATCTTTTTCAGAGATTCTAGATACTCTAGAATGACCTCCATTGGAAGCGCAGTCTGTCCCAGCTTGATAACCTCCATCGGCCGACCGTGGTGTGTTGCTCCCGCTCTACATGTCTGCACTCCTTGTCCGAAGTAGTATTCTATGCCGCCAAAGACGATGGACGTGTGGTATACAGCATCAATTTGTATTCCAAGAAACTGGCGAGACATGCTCTTTGCCAGACCCTAAATCTGTTAATACCGTTGCTTTCTGAAAGGCTTCTATGAGAGCGCTATGCATCGGAGACTTACTTGAGATAGGTCATACACGTAAAGTTCCACGTCCATGATAGAGATCACACGTAGCCAACTCTATCCGTTCCACAATACTACTCTGTTGTCTGGGAAGTATCTCTGATTTCACAGTAGGGTACAAGATCAGCGCAAGCCTAGAATCTTGAAGCCTCACGCGTTGGTGTGTCGATGTTGTGGGTCTTGTAGGCGGAAACGGTGACGTAAAAGAACATTCCCGAAAGTCCCACGCGGGCGATCGCTACGCGCACCGCCACATCTCTTATCGCCACATCGCGTCAGCACCTGACCGTGCTCCCAGCGAAAGCCAAATCGTGGGGAAGGTTGTAACGCATAATGCAACGACGCGAACCCTGCTTCACAAAAGAGGTCCAGCCGATATACATACACGATAGATTGCCTTGAGATCTTTCGACGCCATTCCCCTTGCCATTACTGAGTAGTCCGGTCTACATAAGTCTTTTTGGTCAAACCACTTCGAAGCCAGCAGTTTGCGGGTGAGCACCGACTCGGGGTCTTTCTACAGCGCATTGCTTGGGATAATACCGTCGCAAAGAATAGCGGTGTACTAGTACATGAAATTACCCTTTAGGTTTGTTTCGGGATACGGAGAGCTTAATTAACTCCATGGTATGTGCTCACAAGCATGAATACCGGGACTAGTCCAAAATCTCAATCACCGGCTTTCGGCCGGCCATAATAATGGCGAGTCGAAGAAATTCAACGGCGCTTATCGTTTTCGCAATCGCACCATGAATCCTCTCACTAGTGATTGCAGTAGAAGAGCGATGTATCGTAAACTCCATGACTGACATATGAATTCACTACAATAACCCATCTAGTCATCTATCATCTTGCTAAAAACACTTTAACAATCCAGAGTAACGATTGCCGCACTACTCCAAGGAACATCAACACTAATCACACCATCTTTACTTGCGTTTACACTCTCCCCACGAGTGACATTGTTCAGCCGAACAGGCTTTCCCTCATCCAGCTCGTAGTTGTAGCTGTAGCCATCCCAAGTAACGCCCGTGATTGCATCACTTCCATTTGCAACCAACCTTTGTACCTGGGCCTTGCCTTTGGAGCAATCAGGCAGCTTCAAATCATATCTCTCGATAGGCCGCGGAAATGGAGTGGTGTAGTTGTTGTCAGTTGTATTGTAAGTGTGGAGGTCCACGAGTAGGATGCGAGCCAAGGTGTTGTTGATGTAAGCCGCATACTGGGCAGAAAACTCAGAAGATGAGTCGAGGTGAGAGATGCGCAATTGGGTAGAGGGTGACTTTCGATGCATGAAAGCTGCAACAGCCACGTTTCCATAATATGGTGGCTTCGTTCCTTTGGTTGTTAAGTTTGTTTCGATAGGCTGCCATGCTTGATAGCTTTAGATTTCCCGTTAGTCGGAAGTTAAAAAAATCAGCGCTGCAAACGATAGACTTACCGATAGTTTGTTCCTTGATGCATATGTGAGCGGGATATGTTATGCGATGCGAGGTACAAATTCCAGTCAATTCCCCACAACGCCGCCCCAAAACTGTTGCTCAAACCTGGTCGTCCTTGTCTGGCGAGCGAGTTATGCTCACCCATGATAAAAGGAACATCTGGAGGTGGCGCATTATTTGATTCCCTGATTCCTCTCGACAGGTTAAACTGAGCCTCTGCGCTCAACATAACGTTGGTGTGGTTCATTAATGTGCCTTGCAGCGTAATGCCAGGGGCGGTAGACACACCCATGTAGTTATGGAAAGCAACTATGCCTATGCTGTCATCCTTGTCGATACCTGCTCTCCATGCTTCGACAACATTCAGAGTGGCTACTTCTGCGGCTGTAGGGCCTGCGAAGCTCGGTCCCATGAATTTAACGCCAACAAGCTCCGGACATGCCGCTTTGACGATTTCTTGAATAGCCTCGGTTCCATTCAGCCACTCAGACACATAGTCAGCCTCGGTGTAATTGCTGGTTCGGTGGCCGGACATGCTGAAGAGATCGGGCTCATTACCATACTCCCAGGATATAAGGTTGCTCCCGATTGCTTTGCATGCGTATGAAACGGAATTAAAAGTGTCAGCTCTGTCGGCGGGAGAATTGGCGCCCAGATTGAGACCATGACTAAACTTTATACCCTTAGGCATAGTTTGGTATGACTCGAAGTAAGACGGACCAATCGTGATGATGGTTGGGTAATCGGTCGAGATGTTCGGTTGAATGATACCAATAATGTTGGTCTTCTGGGATTCATCAAAAATTGCCCAGTCCCTGAGTCTTCAGTTAGAGCTGCGTATATCTATCTGCTGAAAGAGCATAAAATTACTGTGTATTTCCTCCCACTCGAACATATGGCATGGAACCTTGTAGTTCGCCCAAATTGCTCAAAAGATTTGCTGTGAAGGTATTTGGATGTGATAGGTTGCCTGACAGTAACGTGTAAGCATTGAGTTCTATCAATAGAGGCTGCAATTCAAAATACCGGCATAATCGGGCCATGACGAAAACTCGACTGAAAAAGAAACGAATGAGTCCAGTGGAACTCCTGCATTTTGTGGGCTTGACTGTTGGATAACAATTGATTTAGGGCTTGAAGGTATGCGAGCAGCCTTTACTTTCACGAGCGTCACAAGGCATGACAATAGCAAGGAGCCGCGGTTGGTGAAAAACATCTTGCCTGCTGGATGCGATACTCGTGATACAAAACCATTGCCTGTAATTTATCAACGCTGTCGGCAATTGAATTCTGGTCGCATCTTGTTGCGGCCTTTGCACGACGCGTTGCTTGTCCCGTAACCTTTACCCCATCTGAAAGATCTACACGTGATGTGGAGGAAACAGGGGCAATGACGAACCGAAAGGTGGGGTAATCCTAGACAGAGAGTTCATCCGTGCTTGGCGCTAGCTAAATCTCACTCAAACATAGAGGTCCTCCACCAATAAAAGAAGGTATTATTGGCTGCCGGGGAACAAGAAGTTGGCGCGTTCGCGCCATTAATATGGCCAAGCCCCCACTTCCCGACTCTCGTTGCAGACCGTTACTTCGGCAGCATGCTTCCTGCTCCCGGTGAAGCTACACAAGTATTCCCTGTCATACTGAGGTTACAACCTTGCCTTCAGTGTAGGATGGCATTGGTAACAAGTACCGCCTAGATATTTCACAAGAGCTTGATCGTATAACAGACTAGCTGAGTTGCAGCCCGAGATATCCCCTGGACATGAAAGATGGTATCGACAGCTCCAAAAGCGGTGATGAGTAGCTCCTGGCTGCGAGCATGTAGTGATGTTAGTGCTTGTCACGTTGTGGAAGCACCAACCTATATAAGAAGGAGAAGTTAACGTAGCATCTTGCATAGCATAGATGGGACGAATAATAACAGAAAGTCTTTAAGCCAATTAGATCGCGTTAGTTTTTTTTTTTTGCGAAAGAAAAGCTGTCGAGAAAGGATGTACGTGCTATGCAGCTGAAGCTGCACGAAGCGCATGGCGCATTTTGTACTATGAAAAATGCGCCAGAGATCGTGCAAACACGGACTTTGTGGTTTTATGTCTCTTTACTCAACTTGGCCAATGTAGGACGTTAAAAAACCTAGGTATCTTTAGTCAGCCTAGAGAGAGAAAACATAGCAATACCACTCCTCAATAAGATCGTCGATGCGTCTTGCTGACAATCAAGTATCTTGCGGTTGCCGCCTTCGCTAGCCTCACGTAAGCAATATATAACCACCTCATTGTGTGACCACACCTACGAATGCCCAGCCTTGATGCAGTCGTGCGTTCCCCATGCAGTTGCATGCGCCACCCTACCTCTATCACAACTGTCTTCGTTTGGCCCAAGATCCTGCACATGACAATGGAGCGAAGAAAACTTCTCTCAAGCTAATTCCAGCAGCTCGTCTGACTCCTCGAGCGCCGTATAGTGAATATAGAGCAGCAACAATGCTTTATCGCAAATGTTCGTTATGAGCAGCTTTCGGGAATAAGCTCACCGATCAAGCATGGTTTTTATGGTATAATCCTGTACACACATCCCCAACATATCGGTTCTGGCTCTATCGTTGGTTGTTGCATCTGCACTTTGTGTTTATTGAAGTGCTTGTGCAGCTTGAAAAAGGTGCATCATGTGAACGCTCTGCAGCAATTTGTCCCTTTAAGGAAAATGGACGACAACAAACAAGAAGATCTTTGGCAGATTTCCCTCCTTAAAAGTTGTACCCTCAATGGTTGTCCCACCCTTCTGATCTTCTTTTTTTCATTTGAATCACTTCTCCTCATATCCTTCATACCCCACTTGTTTGAACGAGAAAACTGTAGCTTCACTATGTCGCTGCTTTCTACTCCAAATATCGGTGTCGCCTTTGGCGTTGCCGCGCTTTTCTTCGTGATCCGCTATCTGCTGGTGAAGAGACACCAGCTGCCTCTTCCTCCAGGTCCCAAAGGCCTCCCGATCCTGGGTAACATCAAGGACATGCCCAAGGTCAACGACGTCGAATGGATGCATTGGCTCAAACACAAGAACACATATGGCCCGATCAGCTCCGTCTCTGTTCTCGGCCAAACGTTTATAATCGTCAATGATGCAGACATCGCACTGAAGCTCTTGAAGGACCGCGCACCAAATTACTCTGCAAGGCCGAAACAGATATTTAGTGGTGAGATGTACATCTAACCTCAACCCGAAAGCATGTCTTTTCGCAAAAGCTAATACAAACAGGGTGGGCTGGAAGAATATGCTGGCCATGCTGCAGCCTGGTGCGGACTTTAGACAGCAACGTCGCAACCTTGCTAAGATTGCTGGATCAAGTGTCTCTATCACAGCGTTTGATCGTATACAAAATGAAGAGGCAGCACACTTTTTGCTAAATCTTTTGGACAGCCCCGAGAATTTGTTCGATCATATCAGAAAAGAAGCTGGCGCAGTGATATTGAGAATCACTTATGGGTATACACCAAACGCGCGAGGTCCGGATCCACTGGTCGATATGGCAGAGCAAGCGATGACCGACATCGGGATTGCAGGTGTGCCAGGAAAATGGACCGTTGATCTACTACCGTTCTGTAAGCGAAAAAAAAAACATTGGCTGTTGGAACGCATGCTCAGTTCTGACACTACCCCAGTGCGCTACCTACCCGATTGGTGTCCAGGCACCGGCTTCAAAGAGGTAGCCCGAGAAATGAGAAAGAACTTCTACCGCAGCGCTGAACAGCCCTACAATTGGGTCAAGGAACAGATGCGAAACAAAAAAGCAAAAACATCCTTCTTATCCCAGGCCATTGAGTTTCTGGGCACAGAGGCTTCGATGGAGGATGTTCATAGATGGTCCGCAGTCTCCATGTACTTGGGTGGCTCTGACACAACAGTATCGGCTATTATGGACTTCTTTCTAGCCATGGCTGTCTTTCCAGATGTTCAGAAGAAGGCACAGGAAGAGTTGGACCGCGTGATCGGTGGTGATCGATTACCGACTATAAGCGACAAAGCTAGCTTACCGTACATTGAAGCAATGATCAAGGAGACCCATCGTTGGCACCCTGTTGCACCAATGGCTTTGCCCCATTGCCCTTTAGAAGAGGATAGCATCAACGGGTATAGGATTCCGAAAGGGGCTCTCATCATGACTAATATCTGGTATGCTCCTCATCTCTTATTTTGTGCTGTTTTTAACGTCTTACCCATCGTAGGTGGTTCACCCACAACCCTGCCACATACGCGGATCCAATGACCTTCCGGCCCGAACGCTTCATAGAAACACCGACCCATACCGCCGAACCCGATCCACGAAACTGGACATTCGGTTACGGCCGTCGTGTCTGTCCCGGTCGCTATATTGCCGACAATGCGCTATTCACAACCATCGCGCAATCGCTAGCAGTATTCAAAATTGAGAAGCTCGTTGAGAATGGGAGGACAGTAGAACCGAGAATTGAGTTCAAGCCTGGTATTGTTAGTCATCCAGTTCCATATCGTCTTAGCATTAAACCAAGGAACGAGAGGTGCCGTGAGTTGATTGAGAAAGCTGAACAACTCTACCCGTGGGGTGAGAGCGATGCACAGACACTGGAGAGCATGAACTAGGAAAGAGTCATGGCATGTATATGCCGCAAACTGAAGACAAGTGATAGTAAGAAGTTGCATCAATGTATAGCATTATACAAGTGTAGTGATGGCGTTTGCAGTTGATACTGAACATACTCATTTGAGGACCTGCATCAGGGTAAGCATAAGGTTTGGGACGGGGCTCATTGCATAAAGATAGCCACCGTCCTCAGTCAATGCAACATCATGTGCAGATCAATCGTAGATGTGCTTTCATTTGCCGGATGTAGGAAGAGTCATGCTGAGACGAAAATATGTTTGCCCGATCCTAAACCCCAAGCCAACTCATCGGCTTGACGCATCGCAAATCCAAGGCACGTCATCAAGATATAAGACGACGAACAGGTATTAATCTTGCTTCCCTGTCCACACTTGCCAACGGAAGGATAACGAGTTGGCAAGCTCTAGCATAATTTGGAAGCGGAATGAGATGACCGAAGTCAAATAAAGGACTCTTCACTCGTGGCCTGCCACACTCGTCTTGAGTATTGCAAGGCACCTGAGATAAGAGTATAACACTCAAAAGCCCAGACTGAACGTTCTCTTGTCAACGGAAAGCCTGTCTATTGTGGACTCCATAAAAGTCCACAAGAGAGAGTGCACAACATCGAAAGACATTGTACCATGTACCAAACCACAAGCGGACACTTGGCCCGCAGTGATCAGGTCTGGTCTGTGCTCATTTTGCTAGAATTTCTCCTTCGCAAAAAGAGCTTCTCGCAACGCGGCTGATACCAGATTGCGAAAGGTGTCAGAACCTTGAGCGATTGTGACAGATGTGATTACATCCATGTTCACTGGCCGCTGTAAGAATAAATAGCCATTGGATCAGCTTCATCCCAAGGCTTGTGATCCTTACGCCGCATTTCGTCCTGACCAAAGTCAGAGGTCGCCGCTGCGGGTGTGAGGAAACCGAACACAATGGTTTGCAGGTTGCTCGGCGGTTGGGTGCAGCCCAAGTACGCTCAAAAACAAGATATTATGCCAAGGGCTATGTATTCGGCCTGTCAAAGTCGCCCGAAAGCGGCTTGATATCTGTTGGCTTCTTGCTCCGAGCTTGGGTTCATGGCGTACCAGCCCACCCATCCTTCGGCGCTGGGGGTAGGAATCCCCTTGCTAGAGGTATATGGCACTGCGTTTTATTTTCTTTTTAGTATGCGCGTCCGCATGGTTTCATGAGCCTTGGTTCCAGGTAAGCCTTGGTTCCAGATGAGGGCCGGGTAGCGTCGACATGATTGCAATGCAGTCACTCCAGACTCTTTGCGGGACGTCACCCGAGTTTGACGCTCTATCGTGAACAGAAGACTTGTGGAGGTTCACATCATGCATCTGGGGGCCAGGCCAGTGAATGATGCTACACCTTATCGATATGGAGTCCATTAGCCATCAGACCATGCGTCCCGGACACGATGAATGGCGCATCAACAGGACGAAGCGGATAGGATCGATATGCGGAGGTCGAGCTTGGGAGTTAGAAATGATCGAAAGTCTCATCAATGGATGAAACAAAACAAAGACGGTGCCTCCGAAGGCAGATAAACGTAGATATGCGGAAGTCGGAGGGACGTAGGTGTATGGTGAGATTTTATATCGTCATGTAGATGTGGGCGGCTGGGCGAAGTGGCTGGAAGCGAGGATTTTGGCGTCGGTCCGTGCAGTCGCGTCATCGAAGCGATCAGGGCCTATGTTCATACTGACCATACAACGAGATTCTTCCAGCTACACAGCACACAATGGTAAGGTGACTAAGACTGACCTTGTAGTATCATATGCGTGTGCTGACCAATTCAAAGCCATCAAAGCGCCGCGGACTGCCGTCCAAAGCGCCTGTCAAACGTCCATCGAAGCTCGCCAAAGAAAACGGCCTGACTGCAGAGCAAGAGGCTGAAATACGCGAGGCATTTGGCCTGTTTGCCGTTTCGCATCCTGACCATGAAGATTCAAAAGAAGGCGTACTAAAGAGAGGCGATGTGCGAAGATGCCTGATGTAGGTGACATTTGAATGCGCCTGAGCGCATTGCACACTGACTGACGACGGTGAAGCTCTCTCAACCTCGCACCAGACAAATCAGAAGTGCCATCCATTCTATCTACAATCGATCCCCTCAACACTGGCTTTGTTAGTTTCATACCTTTCTTGTCATACGCCGCGATCGCAATACATTCCAAGGACCAGGGGTCTGACGAGGACGACGAGGAAGATGAATACCGAGAGGAGAGTAATGCAGAAGAGGTCAAAGCAGCATATCGGCTGTTTACGCACGGTACTGCGGGCCCCATTACACTGGCGCACCTTAGGAGGGTTTCCAAGGAGTTGAGAGAAGACGTGCCAGATGACGTCTTGAAGGATATGATTCTTGAGGCGAATGGCGGGGTCAAGGGTCAGGGTAAGGACGCTGGTGGTGTCAGTCTTGAGGATTTTGAAAGCGTGATGAAGAGAGCCGGGCTGTCTTTTGGATGAGAGACGATGATGCAAGGAACGAAAACACGATAGCATGAAGTTTTACATGCAGGCATGGATACGTCGAGGGAAGCCTCGAGCTGCAGTCTTCCAAAGCCTTGGATCTACGAAAGACAGCCGGTGGAAACCTGAAATGTTGCGCGCATCCTGTGCCGCTAGGCACATGTCGGTATTGGACACGACGGCCCACGATGCAATTCCACGCTCGTGAAATCTAGACCAGAGTTGCCTTATCAACGTAAAGCATGTTTCAGTGGGAAAGGAGGTGAGTGCTGGTTAGAAGGAGTGTAGCCATTGAGGCAACAACAATGCCGGAGAGAGTAGTAAAGGAGCGAATAGAGTTTCGACGCTACAATCTTGTAGAGGCATAGAGATTGGTTCTTTGCATGTTGAACCATACTCAATCAAGATTGAAATCTGTATCTGTATCTGCCATGCTACTATGTATAGCGTTGGCGAAAGGGCTCGGCGCCGATAGAAGATGAGGCGATATGAGTGGGTTCCAAAGTTCCAAAGTCCCACAGGTGGCTGCCAAGATGCAGGGACCTTACGTAGCAGGCACACGAAGACGGATGCAACGGCGCTGCGTATGTAACAGCAACCGCACTCGATTACACATCCCCTCCCCACTTGTAGTACTGCTGTGGACGGAGACTCCTTTTGTACGCTTGTCTCCTTGATGTGTTTACGTGTCTTCGTTGCCACACCACACTAGACCATCCCGGGAGCGCAGTGCAGCTGAATGCCCGCGCCCTGACCTGCAGTCCCTTTTCTGCCCTCGCTCCTCTCCCAGTTCCATGTCCAGCGGCATTGAAGTCAGCGGAAGTCAACGACGACCCGGCATCTGGTCCTACTTTAGTTTTTCTGGCCCACGCCGTCGTGTCTCCGTCTCCCTGCCTCGCAACTCGGATCCCAATCGCGGCGTCGACGACGACGACGACCCTCACGCAAAAGCCGCTAGACACTCGCGCAATCGCTCATCCTACTCGGACGCATTCATGAACGAACACAAGGGCGGCGCCGTCATGAACCAAGGGCAGCGGCTACGCTACCTCAAGACGGGAGGTGTCATTGCCTTTATACTCCTCGTGCTGTACTTTATTGCGCCCAGCGACCGTATCCCAAGACCAGGCGGTATGTCCACGACCAGCTACTCGGCAATTCACGAGCTAACAATCGCAGCGGTATCGACTGCCCCCGGAGGCAATGCAGCAACCGGCGAAGCAAAGGCCGAGTGCACCAAGTCCTACCACAAGGACAAGCCCCTCTACCAGTATGCCCTCATGATCGACGCCGGCAGTACTGGCTCGCGTATCCACGTTTACAAGTTCAACAACTGCGGTCCCAGCCCCGAGCTCGAGAAGGAGGATTTCAAAATGACACCCAAGAAGGAGGGAGGATCTGGTCTGTCAGCTTACGCGGATGATGCAGAGGCTGCTGCACGGAGTCTTGATGTCCTTATGGAAGTTGCTCTCAAGAGCGTGCCCAAGGAATACCAATCATGTACTCCTGTTGCCGTAAAGGCAACTGCCGGTCTCCGCAAGCTTGGCGAGCAGAAGAGCAATGACATTCTCGCTGCTGTGCGTCGTCATCTGGAAAACGACTTCCCCTTCCCGGTTGTATCTGAAGAAAAGAAGGGCGTCGAAGTCATGCCTGGCGAGATGGAGGGTGTGTATGCATGGATCACTGTCAACTATCTTCTCGGCAAGATTGGAGGACCTGACAAGAACCCTACGGCCGCAGTCCTTGATCTGGGCGGTGGTTCCACACAAATCATCTTCGAGCCTACATTCCCCGACACACCCCGAGGCGGACTGCCCACGAAGCTTGCAGAGGGCGACCACAAGTACGAACTCAGCTTTGGCAACCGCAACTTTGACTTGTACCAGCACTCGTACCTTGGCTACGGCTTGATGGAAGCCCGCAACAACCTGCACAGCACCATTCTCGCGAACCTGCACGACACGCACAAGGACAACCGCGAATACCTCAAGCAGCCCATTGTCAACCCTTGCATCCCCCCTGGCATGTCGCGCGAGATTGAAGTCCACATGCCCAAGGGCCACGCACTGGGCGACTCGCTCACGGTCAACATGACCGGTCCCTCCACCTCGGCGCCAACGCAATGCCGCGGTTTGGCAGAAAAGACACTGCACAAAGACGACGAATGCGCCATTGCGCCCTGCGCCTTTCGCGGCGTCCACCAGCCCCCCTTTGCCCAAACCTTTGCCACGGAAGCCGTATACCTCCTGTCGTACTTTTACGACCGCACGCAGGAACTCGGCATGCCCGAGTCATTTACCCTCCGCGAGCTCCAGGACCTTGCGGACAAGGTGTGCAGCGGCGAAAAGGGCTGGGACGTCTTCTCTGCCGTGCCCCAGGCCCTCGACGAGCTCAAGGGCCGTCCCGAGTGGTGTCTCGATCTCAACTTCCAGTTTGAGCTCCTCAGAAGTGGATACGGTATGCCTATTGACCGTGAAGTCAAGATTGCGAAGAAGATTAAGGGCAATGAGCTTGGATGGTGTTTGGGTGCTAGGTAAGAATATCCATCCCCCCCTTTTTTTTTGCTTTGATGATTGAGTAGCACAACTAACTTGTGTAATAGTCTTCCTTTGCTCGAGGCAAACTCTGGTTGGCAGTGTAAGATTAAGCAGGTGCAGTAGATGATGCGGGTTTTGTTGAATTGAGAGTTGGGACAATGTCTTAATATAGAGGTGCACTTGAGATGGTGCTGGTGACAATCTTTCGGTTTATATCCTCGTTCTTTCTTTCTTTCTTTTATTCTTTTTCCTTCTCCCCTTCCCCTCCCGCTGTTGAAGTCGAAAAAAAAATCCATGGGCAAAGTGAAAGGGTATAGGTTCTAGGCGTTTCTTCTACTTCTTTTTTTTTTGGTGCTCAACGAGGGATGGGATGTGAGGAGCAGCATTTCTGGGGATTGGAAGGGAAACGAGAAGATGAAAACGATCATCTCTAGTTCATCTATTTTTTTTTACCACACTCACATCGTGTGGATGACATTATCACAAGGGAGGGAGCGGGGAGGGGAATCATGAATTGAGGGGGGTGTTTACTTATAGAACTTTATTAGATGGAAAGAAAACTGAAGTCTCTCTCTCTCTCTCTTTTTCTTCCTTGTACATCATGGATCTGATAATGATTCTAGATACGAGGTCTTTTGCGTACAAATATTAATCAAAGCTATGTACAGTACATAGGTGTGTGTGTGACCATCCGAGTTGTACGGTCCAAGTCATTGTTTCTTCTAGAGACAAGAAAAGAACAAGAAAAGAAAAGAAAAGAAAAGAAAAGAAAAGAAAAAAAAGGACATGTATAGTCCCCTCCACAGAGGTCCTAATCAAAATGATCCAATATTGCCCTTTGTATACATAGTCTGCCTCCTCTTTGCCCGATGCTGATGGCCCTCAACACCAGGACGCCCCATGCCCATTCCATCGCCCAACATAGTATTGGCGCCAGCTCTCGCCTTCCTAACGGCCCTACGCTTCGCCTCTCTGCGCTTGAGCTTGCCACTCCAATGCTTAAACTTGCGCATGATGCGATCGGCCATGAGGACGAGCAGGGTAACAAACATGACGGGGATGGCAATGATCCAGAAGAAGGCGTCAGAGTTGTGCTGGACGCCGTTGAAGCGGGCAAAGTTCTGGCCAAAGTAGCCGACCAAGAAGGTGAGGGGCAGGAAGAAGATTGTGGTTGCGGTGAGAATCTTCATGGATTCGTTTTGGTAGGCGCCCATCATGTTGAAGATGAGATCGATCAGGTTGTCGGCGGCGCGGCGCATCTGGTCGAGCGAGGCCGTGATGATGATGCAGTGGTCTTCGACGTCGCCGAGGTACGTGTGGGCGAGGGGGCTGATGTTGATGGATGTCATCGTCTTGCGCGTGGCGAGGTTGGAGTTTGTGTGGGTCAACATGGACTGCGTCATGGGGTCTGCTTTGTGGTCGCGCAGCGAGTTGATGAGCGAGACAATGGGCTGGATGGTATTGCGCAGGATGGAGAGCTCTGATGTGAGGAGATAGAGAAGTTGGCTGTGGTGCAGCTCGGGCTCCTCGAGAACGTCGAGTTCCAGTTCGCCCATGGCGTCCTCGTAGGCGGCCACGACAGGTATGGCCAAATCGACAATGGCGTCGATGATGGCTTGCACAACCATGCTGCTGTCTTGGCTGCGACGGAGAATAGTGTCTTCGGTGCGGAGACGCTTCAAGATCATGCCTTCGACATCGTCGGCGGAGTGCTCGAAGAAGGAGATGACCGAGTTGTCGGCGAGCAAGAAGATGCTGACCTGCTCGACGCTGACAGTCAGGTGCTTCTCTGTGAGCGCCGAGTGCTGTTCCAGATAGACTATGCGGTCGAGGTTGTACCCACCACGGTAGCGCTGGAGGGTACGGACCGAAGTCGTTGCTGGAGGCGTAGCTGTCCTGAGCTTTTCAAGAGGCGTACCGTCGAGTTGCTTCTCTATGCCATCCAAAGCGTGCATCATGTCGTCCTTTTTCGACTTTTCCCCGGCGTTTCTCGAAAGAAGCATTCTCTTTGCCCGTTTGAACAAGGACGGCTTGCGGTTCTTCTTTTTCTTCTTGTAATGGCTGGAATGACGGGAGCGCGAGCGCGACCGAGAAGCCTCATAACGCTGGTCGGCGTCATCCAGATCCGAGTCGGAATCGCTTTCCGAGTCTTGGTCAACGGGGGTGCGGACGAGCTTGGAGAGCGTCAGGAGCATGAAGGCCTGGTCCGAGTACCAGTCGACCTTTGTCCTGCTCTGTGGGCTCATCAAGTCCTCAATGGCCAGGCGATGCAGCTGCTTGTGGTTTCCCAGGGTGCGGATTACATCCCAGCTCAAGCCATTGACATTGATCCATCGCGAGGTGACCCAGTCCTCCTTTGGGTGCTTTAGGAATTCCTCGAGCGTGTCATTGTCGAGCTCGTGGCACTCGACCCTCTGGTCGGAAAAGTCGACTACGGTGATCTGGCAGGGGGCGTACAAGTGGTGGTAGTTTGCAGCCTCGTTGTCGTTTTTGGTGTCGACACCGGGCTCTGCGCCAGGCTCCTGGTGGTGGTACTGGCGGGTGGGGGACTGGTAGTGCTTGACCGTGTGAGATCTGGTGATGCGGCGGCGCAATGTCGAGTCTACAGAGCCGCGGTCGGGGGAGAGGAGGGTGTCGGGGTTGGTAGGGGCAGCGCTGGTCGCGGTAGCTGCCGTGGCGGAGCGGCCGCGACTTCTTTGTTCTCCATTGAGCTGCGTGTCCAGCGTCAGTTGCGGAGGGGCGGCCGAGTCGGAGGCAGAACGCTCAGGGTCGGTGGGCGGCGGAGGCACAGAGGCAAAGTCCTGGACGCGCGTGTCGTGGGGAGAGGCCGACATAGCCGGGTGGTTGGAGGCATGTACCTAGGGAGAAAAGCGCGTGGTTGACGGGCTTGGCTTGGCTGCTTACGGGGTTGGGCAGAGGGGCAGGCAGCTAGGTATAGTCGTAGATTCGGGGCGTCGATATTGCGCAGTTCGGTCGTTGGCGAATACGGGATGGCAGCGGGCGGACGGGCAGGTTGCGAACAGTCCGCCCGTGGAGGCTACGCGGTTGTGAGGGAGCCATGCTGTCTTAGCTGGCGCAGGGTTTCACCATGCCATGTCTCGCCATGGGCGCGACGAAGAGCAGCAGGCCGAGCAGTACTCAGGGCTGGGGCTGGGGCTGGGGCTGACCAATCAAAGGGGGCATCACTGTCAGCGGGCAGCAGGAGAGCAGCAGCGTATACGCATAGTCATGGTGTAGCAGGCAGTCAGAGCGATGGCATGCACCCGGCCGGAAACCAGCGTGTGCTGGCAGGAGTGCAGGCAGGAGTGCAATGCAGCAGGCCGCTCAGCGGGAGAAAAAAAGCACACGTCTCTTGCGCGCCACCGGTGTGGCGCAAAGGGGGGCTGGCATTGGGCAGAAGCGAGTGCAGCGCTGCGACGGGACGTGTTGGCGATAGATTTGAGCGCGAGCGGGCGGGCGTGACGCATGAAATTAGCGGAGAGAGACTGCCCTTCTCGGCCGGCGGTGCCAATGCCTGTGCTTGGCCGTGACAGCGACTAGCCCAGCAGGCAGGTGCACGCCCAAGTCCACGCCCACACCCACGCCCTCCCATCCCGAACCGCCTCTTGCCTCGCCCATCCACCCACCACACGCCACTGCCGCCATACATACACACACATACATACACACACATTCACTGCAGCCTTACCGCGATCCACATCCACACCCACATCCACATACATCCACATACATCCACATACATACCCATACACACATACACACACCACATACATAGACCCATCCTCGCCTCTGCACGCTGCCACTGCCCATCCCTCTGTCCCCCCCCTCCCCCAGCCTGTCGCGTGGCCCGTCGCCGGCAGCGCCAGTGTGTGTGTGTGTGTGAGCGTGAGCGAGAGGGCTCTTGCCTCGACCCACCACCCCCGGAGCACTCAATCCATCTCACACATCCCGGCACCCCTAGCAGCAAGCAAACAAGCCTCATCTCCCGCCGCAAGCTGCCCACTCTCCTTTTCGCCCACACTCTCGCCTCATCAGCGCATCCCCATCAGTCCCGGCTGCTGCTCCTCTCGTCAGCTCGTCGGGCTCCCGTGCTCCTTCTCCCTCCCTCGCCGCCCACCATATGCGACACTAGCCCCCAACCCGCGAAACACCACCTTCCCCCCCCCAGCGTCCACTCACCCGCCACGCCCACCAAGCGCCACTGCAAAGACGCCCGCCATGCGCGAAGTCAACTTCAGCATCCCCAATGCCAACAAGGCCTCGGTCGGCATCACCACCGCCCTCTATGACCGCCGCGCCCTCGACTGCACATCGACGCTGCCGCTCATCAACTCGCTCAACCACCTCGCCTACCTCACCACATCGTCGGCCCGCATACGCGACATCCTGACCGTCGATGGCGGCATCGAACGGCTGATATGCATCCTCAAGGAAGGCCGGAGCAAGGACATGATGGACATGTGGAAATGGAACCTCGCCTTCCAGTGCATCTTCAACATCGGCGTCCGCGGCTCCGAGAGCGTCAGGACGCGTGTTGTCGAAGCCGACATGGTGCCCGTCATTGCCTCGATTCTCGACAACTACATCAAGGTCGTCGACAAGATGCGCGCCAGAGCAGAGGCTGAGATGCACAAGTCGTCGCGCCTGGGAACCTCGAGCCGCCACCACTCATCACGCACCGGCGAAGCTGCCTCCAGCTCCGCCCACCGACCCGACCGATCACGACGCATCATCCCTCCGCCCATCGAAATCCCCAGGCCCCTCGACGCTCCCCTGGCCGAGACCACGCCCGTGCCTACCTTTTCACTAAGCTCACCACCAGAGCGCACCACGTTTGCCCGCGGCCGGCCCCCTCACCACCATCACCACCGCAGCCACGAGAGCCGAGCACAGCTGTTTGGTGCCCCTGCCAACAACACACGCAACCTCGCCCAGCCCTTGGTTACTGCCCTGCCTTCCATGGACACAGCACCCGACGCCTTCACCCTACGCCCCGTGCGGGATGCCGACCGTCTGCCCTCGATGCTTCCCGCTCTGCAGGGCGAGATGACCTCCCAACCAGAGTCACCCACCACGCCAAGTGCCCCGCAGGCACGCCAGACAAGCCCAAGAGCGGGGCTGGCCAGAACCCGCCGCCGTCCGTCCATTCGACACCAACTATCCGTCTCTGGCGAGTCGGATCTCGAAGCGCCACAAGATGACATGTCGGCAGAAGCTCCCACCACGGCGGGCCCGGCTGTTAACGAACCAATCGTAGGCATCCAAAACAACGAGATCAACATGGCCGATATTGTTGGCAACGCAGAGATGCTCGATGGCGGCAACACACCCGTTCCCATTGCGGCCCCTTCCGAGGGCACCGACGAAAATAACGAGACTTTCAACATCACCCACCGCCCAGCGCTCGATGGCAGCATCATCAATCCCACAAACACGCCGCCCAACAACCCCATTACCGGCTTCTCCCCCCTGCCCCCGACCATCAACGTGGTAAACACCAACCCCCCGCCACCATGGTACCCACGCTATGCCCAGGAACGAAATGCCTCGGCTAGTGTGCTGGCTGCCATGCCCCGTGACGAGGATGTCCTCATGTCTCTGCAGCTTCTGGCCTACGTATCAAAGTACTGCAATCTGCGGTCCTACTTCCAAAAGTCTCATCTGGTACCCAAGCTCAAGATTGGCATTGAACTTTTGGATGGCGAGACGTCTACTCCAAAGGCTGCTGACGAGGAAGAGGAAGAGCTCGAAGAGTACGAACTCCCTGACGACTTCAACATCTTCCCTCTTGTTGAACAATTCACCGTCCGCCACCACACATCCGATATGCAGTACTGGGCCAGCGTTGTTATGCGCAACCTCTGCCGGAAAGACGACTCCCGTGGAGGCATTCGCCAATGTGCATACTACCAATGCGGACGCTGGGAAGAGTACACACGTCAGTTTGCAAAGTGCCGCCGCTGCCGGAGGACAAAGTACTGCAGCAAAGAGTGCCAGAAGAGCGCGTGGGTCTTCCACCGCCACTGGTGTGTGGCCGCTACCTAGGATGCGCGGATCATGCCTATTCTTTAATTGTTGCTTTTCTCTCTTTTGCAAATCATCCATCATCGTCGTCATTATCATCATCGTTATCAACATCATCATCAACCGCCAGTGGGATTGTTCATCATCTCCTGGCTGCATTTCGCATGGCGCTGGGCAACTGCTTTCTTTTTTTCCTTTTCTTTTGTCATAATCTTGTTTCCTCTTTTTTTTTTCTTATTTTCTCTGTTCAAAGGTGCAAATTAATTAATGAGCGACACGATTACTGGATACCACACAAACAAGTTTTACAAAAACTAGTACCAAATCAACTACTAGTCAGAATGCTTCTTGTTCTTGTTCTTCTTCTCTCGGGAAGCTATAAAAAGGGGAAATCTAAGGGGAGGGGAGGTTTGCAAGCAAAGTGCAAAGACTGTCTGAAGCAAAGGCCTGCAAAGGCAACAAGCAGAGTGAGAGGAGAGAGAGAGAGAGAGATCACTATACCATTTCAATTTTTTTGGAGCGCAGCATTGTTAGCATTTGGTAAAACCGGAGTAGTAAAGGGTTTCTGGCGTATTGAGTAGTGTCTGTGTGTTTATTTTGGTGCAATTGAAATGCCATGCATTTGGATTTGTCTTTTGTATGTTGGTCTGTCTGTCTGCCTGTCTGCCTGTCTGTCTGTCTGTCTGTCAACCGGGTCAGATTCTACTCCTCGTAGTGATGGTTTTTTTTAATTTGTGTCTTTGACGTGTAGTTAATCCCATTTATTTTACAGGACGTATAGATTTCATGTTTAAATTTGATTACTTATTTTTTTCGGCCACATGTTTTTCATCTTGTCCCTAATCCAAGACAAAGTTTTGATTCGTGATTTTTTTTTCCCCTTCCCCATTCCCCTTGACAAACATTTCGATTGGACCCATATAATCCCCATCCATCCCTCTCTTCTTCTAACAAGTTTTTTTTTTAAAAAAAAAAAAACAACATTCTTCTTCTTCTTCTTTGCTTCATTCCTCTATCTCTCTCTCCCTTTCCCACATGTAGCAACAAACTTCACACAATCGTAACCACGACCCGCTCCCACTTCTCAGACACTATCCTCTTCCCCGCCCACCTCTCAGCAACACCCCCAATATTCCCCGCATCAACCACCACATCTTTCACATTAATCCGCAACTTCCACACACCCACCCTCCTCCACCTTCCCTTGACTGACCCAGGAACCAGCATCAGTCCCGCAAGCCGCCGCTGGATATTCTTCGCGCCCGCAGTCCGCACAACCTGGACTTCAGATAGTAATGCATAGACGGCATCCCGCGGCGGCGACGCCCGACTAGCAGGGTCATCGGGATAGTATTCTAGTTCTGGATCCCAGCGGAAACGGCCGTCTGCAGGTACAGTGCTACCGCTACTCGCGATATCTTGCATTTGCGCTGCTAGATCAGCGGGCCAGTTGGATTTAACGGGGAAAACACTCGTCTCGAGTGTGATCTGTGTGCCTAAGAACTCGTGGGCCGCAGTGTCTGGGGCGTGGCGTGTGGCGTGGCCTGCGAACTGGAATCCCATTGTTTTGGCCCAGAAGATGTCGTGCCACGCGACGAGATGTGGTGAGTTGAGTGCTTTGGAGCGGACGAAGAGCGAGTCGTCGGCTAGGAGGAAGGATGTCTGGTAGTATTTGTACATGGGGATGGAGAACCAGGACCAGCTGGGTGTGTTGGGTGGTGGCAAGGGCGCTGTTTTACCTTCTGCGGACTCTTCAGATTTGTCTGGTATTATTTCGGGGGTCCATGTGGAATCTGGCACTGGATTGCCGTTGGCAATCTGGTTTTCGATGCGGACGAGCCATGAGGGTTTCTTGTCTACGTACCAGAGGAGCGCGGCGGGAAGGATCTCGTTCCATAGTCCAGCGAGGTATGTCAGGCGGCCTAGATGCGAGAACGCGCGCGCTATTCCAGCAAACGCAACCATACGGTCTTTTTCATACGAGAGATTCCGACTGCGGTACTCATTGACGACGTTTTGCCAATCGGTCAGGAAGGAGAGGACGGTCGGGTGGAAAAGGCTTATCACACTTGCGGCATGGATTTCATGGATACTATCTGGAAAGTATCGGGACTTCCCTCGATCTTTTCCTCGCTTAGGGTCTACGACCGTTGTAGGTGATGTGGCTGGTACGGGCGCAGCAATTGGTCCTAGCAACTCGTCGTAGAAGTGGCACGAGCACTGCCACATGAGGTTCTTGTGCCCAAGCAGCAGTGTACGCGGACTCAGGAGATATTCCTGGAATGTCCAGGCACGGTGGAAGAGTGGCCAGGAACGCTGAACAAGCCAGTCTCGATGTTTCCCGTAGTTGTCTATTTCCTTGCGGAACTCGTTTGTCGTATCTTCGTGCATGTATACGCCTGGCGTAGAAGGGGTAGCAGCGCGTAGTATACATGGGCTCCATATTCGGGGGTCGCTGCGTTGACTGGGCTTTGCTGGGAAATGAGGCGGGAAGAGAAAGGCTAGGTTGCAGGTTGCGTTTCCGTACACAATGGCCATACGTTGGGCTTCGTACTTCCAGTCCGCTTCCGAGTCTTGGATGATGCATAGGGAGTCTATCCAAAGGTACTTGTATCCCAGAGCTAGCGTTACTCTCATTGCCTCTTTGTACACATCGGAGGCTTCGAGCTTGTCGCGTGGTACTTCTTTCCGAAAGGCACGGAGATTAGAGCCCAGGAGACGGAGCTGTTGGGTAAAGTTTTCACCCCACATGTAACTCAAAACGAGATAATCAAAGGGTTCATTCTTGAAATCATCTCGCAGTCGAATCTTATTCAAGGTGATCTCCAAGACTCTAGTAGGTCGCTGGTTCAGGTTCTGAACCGTACGGGCCTGGAATTTACGGCACTCTGCATGCTCTGTAAGACAACATTGCAGCCATTCTTTAGCTTTTTGGATGTTGTCTGAAGCCCGAACTGGCACATGTTTAGCTGTGATATGCCCATCAAACGCTGTGAGGTTGCTGTCTAAATACAGTCTGTTAGTTTTTCAGAGAAACCGAGATGGCAATAGTTTCTTGAGGCGGGCTTACTTTCATAAGTCCTTATCTTATATATTCCAATCTTGTTAAAATCCTCCTCATTCTTCAGGCTCCTTCTACCAGGTTGGGGCACCAAAAAGTCAACCAGCCTCTGCGCACGGCGCAAATGAATGTAAACCTCTGTTTGGTCAGCAGGTCTCGGTAGCCCAATTTCAGCCCGATTTTGCAAATGAGAAACCAGCTTTTTGCAGAAGTGACAGCGTTGCGCTGACTGAACCAACTGCGCAATCGTGCAAAAACGCAAGATGGGCCACGACGGTGGTGGAGCGCCCTGCGCTCCCCCCCTGTGTTCTTGCAGCCAAGTCAGAGCGCGCCATTCGCGAAAGAACTTGCTACAGCGCTCACACAAATCATGCAAAGGCACCGAGGTATTGGAAATTGGTTGTGTGGGATTAACAACAGGAGCTTTTTCTCGGGCTGCATGGTGGCGGAATCGAGATAGGAAAGAAGGCATGACGAAACGGAAATAGATTAACAGAAAACGAACAGCTTGGAAAGTACCTACATTTTATCTTTCTCTCTACCCATTCCCGGCTTTTAAATGCCATTCAGGAGATGCAGAGGATGCGAAATTGGAATAGGTTGAGATGGGCGCTTGCGAAACGCCCAGCGAGCCGCTCATGCGGCACAGCAAAACCCACTACACATGGACATACACAGCGCCTGAGGCTTCGTTGTATCAATGCAGCCCTCACCTGACCCGACTAGATGAATGGAGAGTGAGACTATCGGGTGTGGAGTGTTTGATATTGAGTGAGGTAAGGTGCTACAAGTACTAAAAGCGGCAAGGACAACACCACAACATGACGTAAGCATATGAGTCACATGATTTTACACATGCAACTATGTACGAGAAGCGATCTCAACACACATCAACAGCCATAGTGACCTTTGTCATTTCGAATGGGTGCATTATTGAGGAAGGCTGAACAACAAAATGACTTTCAGTTAGAATCAAAATGTATCAACATGTTGTAGTCATGAAAAGCAGGTTGTAGGACACTCTAAATGAGGGTATGATTGGAATGTAATTATTTCCAATTGAATATCTAAACATCATGAGCACAATAATGATGCTCCGTCTAAATGTCATCTCATGATAAATATCTCGACGCTTCTAAATCATACACGATCTAATAGTGACTCCCAACGCCAGAGATGCTGATGTAGCAAAGACTCTCAATCAAAAGACCTCCCCCAAATACTGTCAGATATTAGACAGTAAAACGCTAAAAAAAGAAACAGTCATGTAAGAGTATCGTGATAGTGATGCGCAGGTATGTATATGACGCAGAAGGCCAAAGCGTACTGGGTCTGTGAGACGCTAGGATCCGTAGTGTAGAGGATCGTGCGGCCGAGATTAAATGCCGAGGGCGAGTGTGTAAGTATATATATACTACGGCGAAACCGCTAAGGCCAGCCCTAAATCAAATGACATAATGGAGCCGAATGCTACCGAATCAACGGTGAATGCAGGGCCCAAAGCCAGAGATGGCATCATAAAAGATGTTTGAGGAGAAGATGCTTCAACACAGCAACTTGATAATGCCTCTCAAAGGATGCGATGTCTAACAATCATCGGTTAGCTAGATGTCGATCATACAAGAGTGGACAAACTTACTGCCTCATGATTGTTTCAAGGCTGATAGCACTGAGCTCACAGTCATCAGGAAACTGGTCGACGAGTGCAAGAATGTCAGCGAACTTTTCGCCGCCTCTGTATGCCAGAATTGCAGGTACACCTGCATCCTCGATCTCTGCATCAGAGTTGTCCATCTTGACAAAGCGGACAGTATCATTGCGCTTTGCTACTTCGCGCATGGTGATTTCAAACAGCTTGGAAACTTGAGCGCTTGGCTGTGATAACGTTAGCATCTGGTCAAACCAAATAAAGGTTGAGGTGTACATACGTCGGTGTTGTAGATGAAGACGACAACCGTTGTACCCGAGGCGGTCTTGTCAACAGCATCAAGGTACCCCTCACCGTCAACTAGCGGCATGGTACCGTAGACACGACGGCTAGGGCTATTTGTCCTTGACCGCATCTTCTCGCCGACATTCTGCAGCTCCTTGAGCCTGGCCTCACGCCATTGGCGCATGAAGCCCTCGTCAGCATCTTCGTCGCTCGAGGCCTTGTCGTCATGGTAGGCAGAAACAGTGTATGATGTGGGCGGGGAGTTCTTCTTCCAGGTAAACCGTCTTGCTTGCTTCTTGGCCTGCTCAAAGGCCTGGGCATCGGCAATGACACCCTTTGGGCCCGTGTTGGCCTCTGAGCGGCGGTTGGGCATGTAGTAGTTGGCACGCATGTCGGCAGGAATGTCGAGTTCGTCGTCGGTGTCAATCTTCTCGAGGTAGTCGGCAGCAGCACCAGGGGACTCTGGTTCGGAGACGTCGCTGTCGTCGTGGCGGTCTTCAGGGTGTCTGGAGTCGTGGTCCTTGTCACGAAGAAGCTCGTTGAATTCGTCTTGAGCGGCTGAGGTGGACGGATTCATGGCGAAAAAAAAAAGAAGCGGAGCGGAGACGGTGGGAACGGGGAGGTTATATGTGCGGAGAAGTGCCGGGTGACGCGTTGATGGTGAAAAAAAGGAAGGGGGTATGTGTGCAAGGTTGCTGGGAGTCTGTTTGGGGTGTCTGGGATGGAGGAGCGCCGGTGACAGGCTTGGCGGGGCTATTTTCGAAGCGGTAGCGTGGGTTTCAGGGCAGTGATTGGCTGGTGGGGGCGAGAGGGGCAGCGAGAATGCAGGGCCAGGGCTGGAGGAGTGTAGGATTCGGACGCTTGGGAGGTGGTGTTTAGGGCTGGGAAGGGCTCGTAAGGGCTGATGCTGACCGAAAGGCCACGCGACGCTCGAGGGCGACTCCCCACTCGGCCGACATAGGGGCCGCCCGTGAACAGAGCGCCCGCATCTCTCGAAACGGCCCTCGAGGGTCGAAACGTGCTCTCGTGCTTACTCGCCCAATTGGCTGCTCGCTGGTGGCGCCCGCTGGCCCACGGCATACGCAGCATGTCCAAGGCTGAAACATGGTCCCGAGCCATCTGCTACTCGTCCTTCGGCGCCTTGGTTCCGTATAGAGAAGATCAGACAGACGTCACCTGTAGCCTCTGCCTTGCTGCTCTTGTAACGCCTTGCGTCGTCTCAGCTGCACAGGAGAGACCAGGCGGAAGGCCATGGAACGAGAGAGTTTGGGCCTACATGACCCCCAAAAGGGCTGACGAGAGAGAGATGGGAGGGAGCCTTGCTTACCATGCTCACTCACTCCCTTACCTGCTCCTTCACGCCCTCACTCGGGGAATGATCGACTTGCTGTTACCGGGGTAGAGCGATATACCCCTGGTGTGGGTGTGGGTGGGGCCCTCCGGCTATGCACAGCTTCGACTGACCTTCTAGAAGCATGAAGCTGGCACTTGTTTATCCTCCGCGTCTTGCGCACATGGCAGGTGCTCTCCGATAGCCGTCAATGCCTGGCAGCCGTTTATGCCTTGTATCGCGGTTATGCAAGCTCTTCCTGGAACCATCATTTCCCCAAACCCCACGATGCATTGCGCTGTCCAACGCCAGAGATTGCCATCCTGGTTCCTGCTGGTCGAGGGCTCACGCGTCTCCTGGTCTCTCTTTTTTTTTTTCAACGCTTGTGTGCGCACTTTGACTTGGTCATGACAAGGCTACTTGTGCTCCATGTGCACGATTCTAGGACCCTGGAGCTGTTCCATCCCTCGGCGCTGTGTACTGTTTAGCGGTGTGACATTCGGCTGCCCCATGTCCCGGGGACAACCTGGTTCCATCTTTGGGCTGTGCGCCAGTCACGAGTGCGAGCACTGCCCATCACGCATATCTCAGGCACAGCACTCATCTCCTATTGCTCAATGCCTCAACAATGCATCTCTTCCCACGGCCACCGCACAGCTCAACGCCATAACAACACCTCATCAACGTAAAATGAAGTACATGAAAAACTCGCTAAAAACTACCTATCCCGTCCTGGCTCCTGCCATTTCCTCTTCCCACTGCCCAGCAAAATCGTACACATTCAAATCCCATGCACTAGACAGCCATGATACATCGCTTCTTCACTGCCCCGTCAATGGAAAATTACGGAGCCATTGCATGCAGACCAAAATCCAAAACATACACTATTCCACATGTCCGTCTTACACGCCAACCCTCTCTCTCTCTCTCTCCTTCTCTCCATCCCGCCTCCCTCTTCCTCCCCCAAACTGCAACAACAACCCGTCGCTTTTTTTTTAGACATTGGACAGAACGCAACGAGAATACACGGTCGAACGAAGATTCGAGGCACACTACGTCTTGCTCAACTGCGCCCGACCGCCTGCCCGGACATCAATAGACAAGTGCGACGCAAGTGCTTGCCTTGCTCAAGAAACTAACACACCAAAGGTATGGAAAAGGGAACGTAGAAGGAAAAAAAGTATATGAAACAATTGAAGCACACAAAGGAAATATCTCTCCGGGCGCCTAAACACCACGTGATAGGAGAGCCGCGTCAACGTTTCCAAGGATTGCTGTGTATTATAATCTTAGAAGTAGGATAGCTCCCAGAAGTCTCCCGGGTAAGTAAGATGCAACAAGGGGGTATGGGTATGCCAGGAGTTTGCAAAGATTGCCGTCATCGATTGTAGGTTGCCAATATTAGAAAGAATAGGCGCACACGTCCGGTTGGCGTCGTTACATGGCGTCGTGGGTAGTCGGTCGTCCTGGTGCGCTTACGCCCAGATGCGCAGCTATTTTGAGTTAGTCGTTTCATCAGCCAACAGCAGATGGCAACACTTACCATGGAGTCCCATGAACCAGTGCAGAGACTGAGCGCATCGTTGCTGACGCCTAGACAGCTGACACGGTTGTCGTGTCCCTGCAATGTGCCTACACGCTCGCCGCGCAATACGTCCCATACCTAAGAAGCCTGTTAGCGTACGGACGAAAATAAATACAGAGATCAGCAGGTGCCCTTACCTTGCACTCAAAGTCATCGTAACCAGCAAATAGCAGACGTCCAGAAACGGAAAAGGCTACAGATGTGATGCCGCAGACGGGCTCGGGAATCTGCCAAGATGCACATTAGTAATCAATGTGC